CACTGAGTACTATCTCCAGATGTTTTGCATGGTCCTCTCGATTCTTCGAATATACAAGAATGTCGTCGATGAACACAACTACGAATTGATCAAGATAAGGTCGGAATACACTATTCATGAGATCCATGAATACTGCCGGAGCATTGGTCAAACCAAAGGGCATTACCGTAAACTCGTAATGACCATAACGAGTACGGAACGCAGTCTTTGGGATGCCCTCTTTCTTTACAGGGATTTGATGGTATCCTGACCGTAAGTCAATCTTTGAGAATACAGTAGACCCTCTAAGCTGATCAAATAAGTCATCGATACGAGGTAAAAGATATCGATTTTTGATTGTGACTTTGTTCAATTGACGGTAATCGATGCAGAGTCTCATCGAACCATCTTTCTTTTTGACAAACAGAACGGGTGCTCCCCAAGGGGAAACACTCGGACGTATGAATCCTTTATCGAGTAGTTCTTGTAGTTGAGCCTTCAACTCTTTCATTTCAGCAAGAGCCATGCGATAAGGGGTTGCAGATATCGGTCATGTTCCAGAAACAAGGTCGATAGAAAATTCTACTTCTCTGGAAGATGGGATACCAGGAAGTTCGTCAGGAAATACGTCAGGAAAACCACATACTGTCGGTATGTCTTTCAGCTCAGGAGTTTCCTTTCGTGTGTCACGTATGTTACACAGATAAGCTTCACATTTCTTCCGAATGAGACGCCTAGCGTGTATGTACGAGATGAATTCAGTGGATTTAGGTGTTAGTTTCTCTTTCATCTCTATAGACTTTCCCTCTCCAGACTTTAGTTGAATCGTTCGTCGTCGGCAATCGATAACTGCTTGGTGTTCGGTGAGCCAATCCATTCCGAGGATGATGTCAAATTCTTTGTACGGTACTTCGATAAGATTGAAAGAGAACTGATGTCCTTCAGCAATCAATGGACAGTTTTGATACACATGATCTAACCTCATACTATGTCCTAACGGGTTAGACACTAGTATAGGTTGTTCTAAATGTTCTTTCATTATGTTAGCTTTTTCAGGCATTTGTACACAGATATAAGACAAAGTTGATCCAGGGTCTATCAACACATGCATGACAGTATCAAATAAGGAGAACATACCCTGGATGACGTCAGGGTTCTCCTCAGTTCGTGCTTTCATTGCATATGTACGAGCAGGAGCTCGTCCGTGTTGTTGGTTCTGATTCTTGGCTGGATTAGACCCCGCTGTTGAGCGTTGACTTGGTGCGGGTCGTGCCGATGCTGCTTGACTAAGAACAGGGGCAGGTGGATACGGTTCTCCGGGGTTTGTAGGGCACTCCTTTCGAAAGTGTCCTGGTTTTCCACAGCTGAGACACAACCCTTGCTTAAGCCAGCATTCTCCAGGGTGATTCCTTCCACAGTGCTCGCAAGCTGGATACCTCCGCTTTTTGGACTTATCAACGGATGCCATCGACTGGGTTTGTACAGATTTTCCCTTTTTAGAGAAATGTGAATTCCTAGGTTCTTGAAAGGGCCTTTTCCCTTTTGAGGCAGAGCCGGTGGGACGGTGAGTGCTTGAGCTGACATTGTTTGTCTTCAGATACTCAATGCAAGCACTCAAGTCGCTGTTTGCCCTGGCAATGAGATCGTAGGCCTCCGCGAAATCCACAGTGGTTAGAACGGATACACGTGACCTGAGGTCAGGTCGAAGTTTCTTCCTGAACTCCTCAATGCGATCGGTTGGGGTATTTACTAAGGTTGGTGCAAACTTTGCGAGTTTGGTAAACTTCTGACGATATTCAGGGAGTGTCATGTCTCCCTGTTCCAGATCGAAAAATTCTTTACGTCTTTCCTCGCTGAATCGTTTCGGAATATATTCTTGCTTGAATGCCCATTCGAAATGTGCCCATGTCCACGGCTTAGGGGTTCCCGCGCTCTCATCCGTCCTCTTCCACCACTCGTAGGCTTCCTTTCGAAGCAATTGAGAAGCCAGTCTGGGATAATTGTCCATGGGTACATAGATCTTCCAACACTCGGGCAGTCTGCTCGATCTAGTCCCACGCAATCTGGGGTTCACCGATGCGATCCCCAAGGAATAATTCTGCACCGTTATCTCTTAGCGTTTTATAGGTTATCACTCGAGGTGGCGGTGGTGGAGGTGGTTGAAACATTGGCGCGTTGGCTATTTGTTGCAACACATTAGCTAGAAAAGCTGGAATCACAAGGTCGGGTTGACCACCAGCGTTTGGGTTATTCCCAACATTTTGTTGATTGACGGGTTCATTTTGGACGGGAGGGGTGAAACTAGATGCTTCAGTATGAACACTGACGTGTTCATTGTTGCCTTGTCTGTGGGCAGATTCTTGACTCATTCTACAATAGCAGAAATTCCTTTATTAAGATTTTTTTTTATTTTAGTAGTTGAGTTCATGACAGGAATTGCAAAGGATTACAACATTCGATACAATTAACGGATTTGAAACAAACAACGAGAAAATTTCTAAACGTTTGCATTCGTTCGATTGGATCGTAACGATTCTACAGCTGGGTCTTCTACGCCCGATACGCATACGCTATTTGCAGAGTCTATGCTGAATGTCTCTTCCGGGTCATCCCATTCCCATGCAGCCTTGCAGCGCAAATAAATCTTTCGTTTCATTATTCGTGCGGAAGCGATGGGCTCGTTGATAACGTATCAGCGAGTCATATACATTTCGTTTGTTCTTTCGTCTTTTACCATGTACGATAGTGCGACTTGAATCAACACTTGATATCATTTCCGAATTAACAGTTGACATCTATAAGGATTTAATACAGTCAAATTCAATACTTAATAAAAAAAATTTTATTACCTTCCTGGAGCAGAGGGATGCGAGAGTCGTGGATTTGACCGATTTTTTTTTAAAGCTGAAAATATCTATATCATATATGTAAATTTATTATTATTACTATTTTTTTTATCCGAATTTCGGTTTTAAAACCATTTGCTCCGATACCAAATTGTAACACTCTAATCCGTCCAGGTCTGCAGCCCCTTTCGGACTAAAGTATTAATTTGGTAATCGTAAAAATTTAAAACATTTTAACATCTTTATTTATCATAAAATAATATTCCATACATAACAATAATAAATTACGGAGTTTTTAACCATAATGAGGAAGCAATTTAAATCATGTCTCATAACAATTTAATTTAATCATTTTAAATCATAAATCCACCACGATCGCCTCGCCCCTTCTGCTGCCAGGANGCATCACATTATGTTTTTATATGTCAAAACATCATTTTATTGTACAAAATCATATTTATATTGTCTATAATTAGTTGGTATCAAAAGTAGGATTTTAGAGCATAATTTCAGAAATATTTTTCGAAGCAGTAACTCGAATTGAAGAAAAATCGATTTAATATAAAATAATCTATATATATATATATATATATATATATATATATATATATATATATATATAAATGTGGAAAAATCGATTATTTGATGAATAATAATCGATTAATAATTAAAAATCGATTTATAATTTATAAATAACCGATTATTTAATTAAAATCGATTTATAATTTATAAATAATCGATTATATAATAAAAATCGATTTATTTTAATAAAATAATCGATTATGTTTTTCTGACTTCGAGCACCTCATCTGAACAAAGTTCTAATCGATTCTTAGGAGTAAATAATCGATTTTCGGCTACTGTTCATCATCATCTTCCTCTGGTCAGTTTCGAGTATTATCATTTTTAATCACCAAACTTCAATTAAATTATATAGAAATGTTCTCCAAGGTTCATAGATCATTTTGGAATCATTAAAACATATTTTTAACATCAAATTCAAGGTTTATGATTCTTGGTTCTTAAAAATGTCAAACACAAAACTCAACCAAACAACCATTTATGAACGTAAAAACAACCTACATGAACATTCTAGTCTTTAGATATATCTACGGGCTTACCTTAATGCTAAACGATGCCGGTGAAAAGACGGCGAAACTTCCGGCGAACACCACAGCTTGCTCCGGCAACTTGACACCAAATTGGTAGTACTAAAACGCTCCTCACACTCAGCTCTTTCTATTGCGATAAGAATGATGAAGAATGGTGGACAATTTGGGGGTTTTATAGTAGAGAGTTAGTAGAAGAAGCCATGGGTGATGTCCTTGTTCCCTGTTCCAGCGGCTGAGTGGAGCAAACGGCGATCTTCTACGGGTTTTAAACGCAAGTCCCTGATTGGGAATAATTTTGGTCCTAGTCGGGGTACACTTTTTGGTCCAACTTTCTCCGAATTAAAATCCGATTGAACCGTTGCGGTCAGACAGTCAAACTCTACATAACGATATAATTTTTATTATTTATTGACAAACTTTATAATTCACATATTTTTGGGTCCTTCTCAGTAATTAATTAATTATCAATTAATTAATTCTGATAGGCCTATTTTTGGGGCGTTACAGGAAGTGTAATACATGTCCCAAACCAAAAGCTCTTTCGATCCCAACCCGAAAAAACTAGTTTCCAACTTGCAGCATCGGTAGGGATGCACACATTACGCATCCTAAACTAGAAAACGACATAAAGATATTTTAATTTTTGAAGATTGAACACCAAACTAAAAGATGAAGATCTAAATTGATGTAGCTCGGTTCGAGTGGTCGTTGTGGGTTTAGACCAAGTAATTTTATATTTGAATCCCAACTATCCAAATCCTTCCCAATTGAACACATATATCTCAATCTATATACTCCCTCCGTCCTAAAACTTTTTTCCTGTTGCGCAAAACGAAGAAAAATCCCAAGTTTTTTCAATCTATTTTATTTATATATTGGTATAGAAATAAAAAATAAAACATACATATTTAAAAACTACATCAAAAGTTCAACAAAACAAGTGGTGACAAGAATATTTTATTTTATCATATAGGCCATGAAAAAATAGAAATAAATATAAATTCCCGTGAAGCTGGAATAGTGCTCTGGAAAGAAAATTTTAGGAGGGAGGGAGTACATCACAATAAAATTGAATTAAATTAAGAATCAAATAGAACCAAACAAAACCAAAGTGGGGAGCAAGTATAATAATATGTCCCAATAATACATTGCCGACCGCCAACACGCAGTACGCATCCCAACCACGTCAGTCGCCTGTCCGGCCGCACAATCCTTTGTAAGGAGGGCCATGAAATCCTTAATGCTTCCTCGCTCATTTAGCCCAATCACCGGATTCACCGCCCTCTCCTACCGCATGCGGCGTTTTCTCAGCAGGGCACCTCTGGGTTCTTCAGGTTTTTCATATCTTTTTCCTCTTCAAACATGTTTCGGTTAGAATTTGAACAGGTGGACTTCGAATTACACAATGATGTTGCGTTATCGTCTAGTTTGAATCCGCCATAACTTATCGAGCTTACTAATGGTGTTGCTTCACATATTACTCTTTTCTACCACGGTGTGCGTATCTTGTAGTTTATCTAAAATTTCCTTCCGGATATATACTCTTTATTTATAGCAAATGTTTTTTTCTTGAAATTTCAATCCGTATGTAAGTGTAGGGTGCGATCAAAGTGGATATGGAATTTGAAGTTTAGCACCAAAAAGCATATGGAAGAGGTCTTCAAGGATAAAGTATAAGTTTGTTTTTTTAGGAATCACACAGCCCAACTCTCACTTAGGGCACTTCAAAAGAAATTCTCACATAGAGCTACTTATAGAATTTGATTTAAGACTCACTCATAACCAAACAGCTACAACGAGAGCCACTTTTAAGATAAAGAAGTTAGATATTGCTTGGAAAATTACTCTTTCACAAGAACGTGTAAAACTCAAATTTTTATAATAAATTTCAGAGATGTTCTTTTCTGTTATAACGAGAGCCATAATTATAGTCAAGACACATCATTAGTTCTTGCTATTAACATAAAATCAAAAGGCAAAGGATAACAATACAAAATAGTGAAAATACAAAGGAAATGGAGTCCAAGTGATGTTTGTCCCTGTCTTTGCTCTTATTTTAGCGATGGTATGCGTGTAGCTTGTGATTTCCAAAAGATTCCTTAATTAGCTGATTTAGCTCTCAAATTTATCCCACATGTGCTCCATTCGTGTGCTTGTATAGCCGTTTTAGACAATCAAAATATGTAATGAATAGTTCAGCACCGCACGTGCTAGTCAAATCCAAAGAACACTCCGCGATCCATTCCTGTGTGCTAATCAATTACCTAAACCATGTCTTTGTCTAGATTATACTTGAGAACTTTGTCCACCCCTCATTCATATGGAGTCTTGGTGTTTATTCCTAAAAGTCAAGACTATTTTGTCTTGTAGATTTGCGTTGATATACAAAGATAACAATGTGTGTGTGTGAGAGAGAGAGAGAGAGAGAGAGACTGTCATAGTGTCATATTGCTCTCACCCATGTATGTTTTTCGCAACACATCAATTGATTTATATCCCTTGTGACAATGTACTTCAATACTAGCTGATTTGCTGCATGGTTATTCAAGCAGCTTTCGGAATATGTAGTGCAACACAGGCTCTACAGGGTGGTGTTGACACTTTTATTAAGGGAGTAGGAGGCAACTCAGATAAGGATACAATTGAACATGTGAAACGTGTTATTGAAATGGTATATTGTTACTTTGCATGTTTGCTAACATATTAATTCTGTGTCTTTTATGTTTACTCTTCTTTTTTCCCCTTCTCAACAAGTAAAAGATTTGATCATCCCAAAATCATCATGAAATAATTTTGCTGAAGGGTCTCCTAGCATATCACACAGACATTCTTAATAGTTACTAGTATATCTTATGTTCATCACAGACAGAGCGAGCAGCATCAAAGAGGGAAGTTTCACACACAGATTTTCTCACACCACCTGTACTAAAGGAGTCGATGCTAGTGTTAGGAAAGTTAGACCATGTCAAAGCTATTGCTCAAGGAGGGTACCCAGAGGTTAGATTATTATTATTATTTTCCTGCAAAAAGAATGATTTTGTAAATGAACTCTTAGCTAGCTTAAAATCCTAGGCTGAGCGTTGTAGACTCTCAGTTGGACATCCGAAGTTATTAGCAACTGATCCAGATATTGTTTCTGCCATAAGGTAGATCAAACTCTAGTCTCAAATCTATCATTCACTTCAGATTGTATCTCAATCCTCAAGTCAAATTCATTGCTGTGTTAGTGTTATTGATAAATGGCCTTGCTTTCCAGAATTTCAGGGAACTTTTCTTTTCAGCCCTGTTCTCATGGCGATTTGCTTGGGGCAATTCTTAGTACTGGGATTTCCAGAAATAAGTTGGGAGATATTGTCTTGCAGGTATTCTAAATCTGTGTGCTTTGGGAATTTTGAGAAATGCAATCATCCTTCTTGACAAACTCTGGTTCCAGAGCCATGAACATTTTTTTTTGTTTTTCATTTACTGAAAGATAAAAGTAAAAGGAAAATTTCCATGATAGGAATTTTTGTCACATAAAACCTTTACCTCATAAGCTCAGTAACCGCTCCAGCTTCACATAAAAATATCCATGTGCCTCAACTTGCATAAAGATGGGTGGTTGCGGTTTGGAGGTTCACCCTTCACGACATAGACCTCACAATAACGGTTAACTAAATTCCATTTGCATTATTTGCATCAATCTTTTATAATGCATGTTAACAAGTTTAAGCATTTGGGTGTTATCTGATGTTTTCCTCATTCATGCAATTCATATCACTAGAAGTTATTTTTGTACTCTTCTGGTCTTTATTGACTTCCAGGCCTTTATATGAAATTTTAGGGTGAAAAGGGAGGTCAAGTTCTTATTGTTCCAGAACTAGCTGACTTCCTCACATCAACATTGGACAAGGTAGTATTTCTAGGTTCACCATTCGCACTTTATTAGGTAGTATTTCTTAACTTACAAATAGATAATCCACCCATCATCTTGCCTGCTTGGTTATATTAAACATAAAGACAAATAAGTACATCATTTCAAATTACTTTTGTAGGCCTGTCTAGGTCAATCATTGCCACTATTGTAGGTAGTATAGCTGATTACACATGCTAGAGATTGTTTTAACTTTATGAGTTGGCGAATGAACACTAACTACTATAGGTAAAATGGGAAAAAAGGGATGATCCTTTGTAAATTCAGTCATTCAAATCCTGCATTTCAGGTAAAAACAGTAAACTATTTGTTTTTCCTGTGTTGTAGGTTGGAAATGTTACTGTCTCCTGTAAAAGGATTCCATTGCTTGCACTTGAATATGAACCTCCAAGGTTACTATATGGTATCCCATTATTATTATTATTTTATGGAGTTTATTTGAGGTGATGGGTAATTGATCTAGAGACCTCTTGAATATATTATAAGGTGAATATCATTGTGTTGCATTGCTGCAAGCCTAGAATGCCCTTCACAATTCACATACCCTTGGTATACCCATTCAGTTTATTTGGTTCTGTCTTTTTTAGTTTTTTTCAATGATTAATAATTGCTTGGTCTTTTGCATTTCCGTGTGTGGAGGAGGAGGAGGCGGTGATTTTTTCTAATGCTACATTTCTTTACTCTTCTCAGGACCAAGTTGCTAAAAACTATAGAAGCATCATTGAGACTTGATGCAATAGCAAGTGCAGGGTTCAAAGTTTCACGTACCAAGATGGCCGGTCTCTTAAGGTACATTTGCTTGAACTTGAATTTCCCTGTATCATTGGTGTACCTCTTACTTTTATAAGTCCATTTTTTTATAATAATAATTACTTAATTAGTTACTTATGCTTTTATTAGTCTAATTTTTTAAAATAATAATTAGTTACTTATGCTTTCATTAATCTAATTTTGTTTTTAAAAAAACTTACTCCGTCTTAAAGTGTTTATCAAATTTTGACTTTTTATAGTTAACCACGGTTAATTTTTGTCCTATAATTTCAATTAAAATGGATCTACATGAAGTATGACTCAATTTTATTAAAAAAGAAGAAAGGTTCCTCACATGTATTTATAATTAAAAATGAAAAAAATGCATGAGCTAATGGCAAAATTAACGAAAGGACCAACCATGCATTGTTAACTTGACATGAAGGACCGTTTGTGGAATTTTCAAAGTTGAAGGACTAACTGTGAATGACCCAATAACTTGAAGAACCAACGGTGGAATTCAGCCAAACTTGTATAATGTACACATAACAAATAACATGACAAATATTAATTTGTTCCAAATTTCAACACACAATGATGTAGCCGACGAGTTCATCAAGTTTCCGGCATTTTGTTTTAGTAATGGAGATGTGCGTGTCAATTGGACAACTGCGATGAAAAGCAACACTACTGTCAAGACGGGAGATTTGATATCTGTAACCGGTAAAGGAAGATTAAAGGTACCTTTTATAGTTTTACATTACTCTTTGTTCACTCTAGGGGAAATTGTTTCGACTAGAAGAGCATTCATATTCTAATGTAATTAATGCTCTGTCTTTGTACAGATAGGGGAAATTGTTTCGACTAGGAAAGGGAAGTTTGCCGTTGAGCTGATCCGATACATTTGAACCTTGAAGGTACGGCACCATGAGAAGTTATTAGTGTTTGACTATTTAGAAATGGCGAAATGTATAATCTATATGGTGCCTTAAGGCCGTCAAGGGCAACACATCAGAAGTTTAATTGTCAAAACTTACAAAGTCTCGATCAATTATGTGTGTATAAATTGTGTCAATCTTCTAAACAAAATTTTGGTCATTACGCTTGGCAAAATAAAATTAGAATCGATTACCCAAACCAAATCATCCAAAACCAAAACCAAAATGATTCAAAAAGTGAAGATTCGGTTTATAATCGAATATATGAAATGATCCGAACCAAAATCAAACTAAATATATCCATTTTTAAGTTCAAAACCGATCAGATCCGAATCAATTTAAACTCGAAACCGATAAGACTCGAAAATGATACCAAAAATTGTTATAAATCAAAATTGATCTTGCCTTTCAATAAATATATTATATTTATGTGCATTAGTGCACAATTACATTCATGTAATTTTAAATTTTTTACTCTTTTACCATTTAAACTAATTATATTGTTTTTTTGAAAGAACACTTCACTAAAATTAAAAAGTTTACAATGAAGTCTAGGGTTCAATCAACTCACTCCCTTACACCTGACACTGAATGAGTAGCATGCGCTAAAATATTTGCTCTCTCATTGGACGAGCGATGAGAAAAATGAAATCTAAAATCTTCTCCACACATGACACAGAGACTTTTATAATCATCAATAATAGAGTCAAAATAAGAATAATGGCTAACAGGCGAATTTAGCTGATCGATGACCTCCTTACAGTCTGGCTCAATTATAACACGAGTCCAACCTTTAGCTTTAATCCAACTGAGAGCCTCCTTCACTGTGATGGCCTCCGCTTTCCAAGGACCAAAACTTCCTCAACATTTGATACTTTTTGCAGCAATGAAGCATCCATCATGGTCCCGAGCAACCAAGTCGAAGCCCACATGATTCTCTATGAACCTGCTGAGGCGTCAACATTAACTTTGATGAAACTTGGGGGCGGTTTCTCCCATCCCCGGCGCCCTAGACTCGACAGAATGTGTTGCAACAAGGCCCAAATCTTCAAAAGCTCTTCGCATTACGGGCTGACCATGTCGACCAAAGAATACAATATATCAAAGCTTGATCACTAGCATTAAAAAGATTAAACACGGCCACCAATCATTCCGAGAAAGTGTGTTTCTTAAAATTGGATTGCCATCTTTGGAAAACATGCAAAATCTTGAGTCTTTCAAATTTATTTTATTTTCATCATAAAATTTTACTCAATTTTTACCTAATTGTATTCAATGTCAATCGACAAGAACATTTCTTTGACGAGGAGTTGAATGAGTTTCACTAAATTTCACTTAAATTTAATTAATTTTCATCCCATTGGATTCAATTTGACGATTGATTTGATTTGAACAGAATGCTATTTCAATCCAAATATATTTAAAACGGATATATATCCGGACCAAAATATGTTTGAAATTGAAATATATCTAAAATCAAAATCTATATAAATCAATTTATATTTGAATTCTATCTGAATCGATTCAAAATTTAATCAAAACCGGAAAATGTATAAAATTGATTCAAACCGAAATTAAAGTGAATCGATTATAACACTTATTCTAACGATATCTGAACAAAATAAATCAATTATAACACTTAACTTAATTTATACTTCGTATTTCACAAACAAAAGAGAACGAATGTTAATAAAATAGTATTTCAAATGTTTCTTTATTTTTTTATATTCATCTACCAAAAAATCAAAATTTAAATAAATGATTATTTAAATAAAAAATGATTTGTAATTCATCTACAGTTGAAACAACTTTTGAAAATCAATTTATTTTTTAATGAAGAAATATAAAAACATTATTTTTTTACAACAAGTTTGTATATGTGTTTGATTCGGGGTTTTTAAGTATGGAAAGTTATCTCGTACCAATCCCAAATACCAGACCGACCATTCTGTTCGATACGGTAGAATTCTTTTTTTGATATTTTAAGGGTTTGGTATTTTCCAATTCAGTAATCTCCTTTTGAAAATTCTGGAATCGATCCGGGCAACAATTTTTGAACTCAAAACTCATAAGGACCAAGTGACCAACCCCAGCTTGCGTCCCCAGAACATCCTTTGGGGTCCTTCTTCAACGGCTCCTCCAGAGCCATTTTAAAATTCAAATTGAAGATCCCGTACGCTAGCAATGGCGAGTGCTGATGCCTCCCGAATTACACCAACGAAGACACCGGCATCTGAAAGGTCATCACCCGCTGCTTCCACAACAACAAGAAAACATCACCATCGCCGCCATGACGTTCCCTCCGCTTCTGAATTGAGGACACGGTTCGAAGCCTACAATCGCCTTCAAGCAGCTGCGGTTGCCTTCGGAGAGAAATTGCCTATACCGGAGATCGTTGCTATTGGTGGCCAATCTGATGGAAAAAGTTCTTTGCTCGAAGCCTTGCTGGGATTCAGATTCAACATCCGGGAAGTCGAAATGGGTACCCGACGCCCTCTTATTATGCAAATGGTCCACGATTCCAGTTGTTTGGAGCCTCGATGCCGCTTTCAGGTTGTGAGCGGATATCCTAAATTCCACTGAACACTTATTTTAGACTCTCTTGAATTGTTTATTTTTAAATTTTCAGATGAATTTAGGGCTTCACTCGAGATTTCAAATTCATTCCACTTCAAGTTGTAAAATTTTCCAAAATAGTTCGAGACGTGCTTTAAAAAATGAAAATTGCAGTAAAATGTTGTCAAGGGTACCATACACAGTTATGATGGATAATAAGATGTTTAACATCAGTCTTTCTGGATTTAGCTGCTGAAATGCAGCATTCTGCTGAGCAAAGAAACATGTAGAATGGGTCTACTAATTTGGAGAAGGGCCAAAATTTAAAATTGTAGTCTATATTTTATATAAAAGTCCTTTTGTTCGAAAATGAGCCGATTTTGTTGCTTTATTTTCAAACTATAGTCCATATAGTACTCTGTACTTAAAAGCCCTTGGAACATTTTCTTTACTACGTGAGGCCAAATTTATAATTAAAACTAGCACAATACCACCTAGACTGCACATCACTTTATGTATTACTTTGACTACATCTTTTTCCTCAGTGTCTTGTGTGTTTTTAGTGATGTGGGTTCCCTTTGATGCATCTTTGATGGTAAAAGTGACATATTGAGTATATTTTAAATAGGAGGAGGATTCTGAAGAATATGGGAGTCCCATTCTTTCGGCCTCTGCAATTGCGGATACCATAAAGTCACGGACAGAAACACTTTTAAGAAGAAATAAGGCTGCAGTGTCTCCCAAATCTATTATCATGAGAGTAGAATATGCACATTGTCCTAACCTCACCATTATTGATACACCAGGGTTTGTTCTGAAGGCAAGTCTTTGCGATTTTTTATAACATTCCCATGATTAAATATTCAAACTTCGTATATATACATGATCTGTTCTGCAAAGAGTAATGAAAGGTTTTTGGAATGGCAGGCAAAGAGGGGTGAACCTGATAACACACCTGATGAGATTCTATCAATGGTGAAGTCACTAGCCACTCCACCACACCGTATTCTTTTGTTCCTTCAGCAGAGCAGTGTGGAGTGGTGTTCTTCTCTATGGTTGGATGTTCTTCGTGAAATCGATCCAACTTTTAGGAGGACGATCATTGTTGTCTCCAAATTTGATAACAGGCTCAAGGTACACAACTTAAGGGCCTGAATACCTGATTGCATAAATTCCATAAAATGATCTAGAAAAATACTCCGCCTTGTATGTGTGTTGAAAGTTCAACCACTGGCTGGAACATTAGATTAGCTAAAGTAAAAGAAAGGCTTGAGTGTTGATTGCTTGTTGAAAACTTTGACTAGTAGAAGACTAGAAGGATGAGTTAACTAATGAGACCAAAATTGTAAAAATACAAATTTTTTTATCTCTAATGATTTCCTTACGATATTATCAACAAATATGTATTTTCAGGAGTTTAGTGACCGCTGGGAAGTTGATCGCTATTTGAGTGCAAGTGGGTACCTTGGGGACAATACTCGCCCATATTTTGTGGCACTGCCTAAGGACCGAACTGCAGTCTCAAATGACGAGTTTCGGAAGCAAATCTCTCAGGTTGACGCAGAAATATTGCGTTATCTCCGTGATTGTGTTAAGGGTGGTTTTGATGAGGAAAAATACAGGTCCTATGTTGGGTTTGGTTGTCTTAGAGATTATCTGGAAACTGAACTCCAAAAGCGATACAAAGACGCTGCACCAGCAACCCTTGCCCTGCTTGAACAGCGATGCAGTGAGGTTACTGCTGAATTAGCTAAAATGAATTCCAAAATACAAGCGACGTCTGATGTTTCACATCTCCGAAGATCAGCCTTGCTGCATGCTGCTGCTTTATGTAATCATGTGGTCAGTTTATTTTCGATCAGTATAAATGAATGAGATATCCCAAATTTATTCATCTTCTGCTTTAGAGTATTCAATTTCTGCATCCTGCTCTTTTATGCAATCATGTATTCATGTCCTTGCTTCTATTCTAACATCTGCCATATAGTAAGTCCTTGTACCTTTGTGAATCTGCTGATTTTGAAGGGTGCACTTATCGAAGGAGCAGTAGACCCTGCCCCTGAACAATGGGGAAGAACTACTGAAGGGGAAAGGTCAGAGAGTGGTATTGGTAGCTGGCCTGGTGTTCCAGCGGATATTAAACCTCCAAATGCTACACTTTGCCTGTATGGAGGTGCTGCTTTTGAGAGGGTTATGCATGAATTTCGATGTGCTACGTATTCGGTTTCATGCCCCACCGTGTCGAGGGAGAAGGTGTCTACAGTTTTTTATTTTATTTAAAAACTCAATTATTGAGCAATTCTGGAACTGGGACTCGAGAATACAATTTTACAGAGTTTATGATGCAGGTAGCAAATATTTTACTTGCTCATGCCGGCCGAGGTGGGAGTAGAGGGGTTACAGATGCAGCTGCTGAGATCGCAAGGGCTGCAGCACGCTCATGGCTTTCTCCTCTTCTTGATACTGTGTGTGATCGTTTATCCTTTGTTTTAGGCAACCTCTTCGAACTTGCCATCGAAAGAAATCGTCGATGTGGCTCACATTGTATGTATCTTTCTATAAAAAAGGATTCAGTTTTTCTTGGTTTGACCATGCTGTCCGCAAGTGCTAGTTATAAGTACTTTCATTGATTTACGAAGTAATATTTGTTATTCACCCAGCTGTTTTGTGAGGACCGTTTTATATGTCTCTGTTAACCTGAATGGTAATCTGGAAAAAATCACTCAATGAAAGCATGATGTTCGTAGTACTTATCCGAGGATGTTAAGGAGTATTATTCTTGGATGTTATAATGCTGAGACAAAATAAGTTACAGAGTACAATTTAATTAATTAATTATTCTTTGGCATCCTTAAATTCTTTCTTATAAAAATTTCTCATTAATGTCATTCTAATTTGCAGATGGGGATAAAGATGGGGACGTTAATGGATATGTTGGTTTTCATGCCTCTCTAAGGCAGTCTTACAACAGCTTCATAAAAGATCTATCCAGGCACTGCAAACAACTTCTTCGGCATCATCTTGATTCCGTTACTAGCCCATATTCTCTAGTGTGCTATGAGGACTTGCCGGGCACAACTTTTGGAACAGGTTCAAATTCTTCAATATACGGATGGAATCAAGCCTCAGCAAGTTCATTTTGCCTTGAACTAACCGATGGTGGTCGGCGTAGCGATGTGGTGGTAGCTGAAGACCAAGAAAATATTCCTCCCGGAAAGAATGTGCAAGAAACAACACCTGGAAAAGTTGGAGAGGCCAGAGACACTCTTCGCGAAAGTCTGGTGACTGTGCCCGAAACGCCATCCCCTGATCAACCTAACGATGCAGCAGACTATGGAATAAAAAAAGAACTTGGGAATTGCATTGAAGTTGGAGCAAGAAAACGCCACTCCAGACTTGGCAGTAAAAAAAATCCTGATCATTTGAGGGGTCAAAATGTGAGCCTCTTGTTCGGAAGTGGGGATGCAAATTTGACAAGGTCACCATACGCAGAGATCTGTGCACTTGCTGCAAAGCATTTTGCCCGAATGCGGGATGTTCTGGTTGAGCAGAGCGTGTCATCAACTTTGAACTCCAGCTTTCTCACTCCTTGGTAAGTTTACCCAATCCTTCAACTCTTTCATGAGTGCATTAATAATAATATGAAGAGAGTAATGTATCTTATTGTGCAGTCGGGAGAGGCTTTTGGTTTCCCTTGGGCTGGATCTGTTTGCTGTCAGTGATGAGAAATTCATGGACATGTTTGTTTCGCCCGGTACAATTGATGTTCTTGAGAGTGAACGCCAATCCCTTCAGAAACGGCAAAAGACACTAAATTCTTGCTTGAACGAGTTCAAGAGTGTGGCTAGGGGACTTTGAATTGAATTGCTCTGGTGTTGGACGATGGTCCGTCCATGCCCTCCGTATCCAATTAAGCAACACGAATCTGTTGCTTACTCTTGTTCGGGTTGTTCCTCAAGATATGCTCTCTCTCAGCCTGTCGCAATCTGGACGCTTTCTTAGTCTAACTGCTGTGCACCCGGAGTCATCTGTATGAGATTTTCAAGTGGTATTTCCATTTTAGATTAGCAATGGAGATCGATTTGTTTTTAAATACCAATGTACTCTAATTGTTTGTGTAAAAGAGTCATAATGAAAAAAAGAAAAAATTGATGTGTCACTTTTGTAAATAAATCAAACATTACCATAGATCAAAAATGTCATATGAGGCATTTCATCTTCCAACCAAAAAAAATACTCTTTGTCCCTAAAAGATTGACATAATTTGACATTTTTTGTTAAATTATGGTGCCTTTTGACCATGAATTAAATATAGTTTAAAATAATTAAATATTATAAAAATTTTGTATAAATTTACATTATAACTATATATACTTTTTCTATAACTTGCGGTCAAAAGGTGCCACAGTTTGACCAAAAAAGGTTGAATTGTGGCATTCTTTTAGAGACGGAGGGAGTACTACAACTCTCTGATTAGGGTACCTATGGTACTCAGATCTGTTCGCATATGCATACCCATGCCAATGTGGTATACTACAGTGGAGGGAGGGGAGTGGGCTGGGTGAGGGGAAAGGGTTAGTGGTGGGTAGAAATCATCAATTTTACACGACAAAATGCTTGAGTCATTATTGGGTTATTTTTTTCTAAGCTCAAAATAATTTTACTTATAATTAATATTTGTTTTATTTCTTAAGAAGTGATGCAAGTGTTGATGTGTTTTATATACAAATTCAAACATGTAAATTTAGATATTCTCTTAATACAATATTAAAATGATCTAAGATGTTTTGTGATTCATGCAACATTAGGAGCTTTTAGATACAATGGGGACTTTGAATGTCTAATGATTTTGAAAAGATTTACCTTTGTAGTTATCAAAGTGGTTGATTTAAAGGACCATACTAAGGTTAATCAAATAGTTAGTGGACGAAGTAAAAATTGTAATGTTTGTTTTAACAACATACCCTGACCACACATTTTATTACGTGGGTCAAACCACTTTACAAGGTCGGACCGTGTCCAAGTGGGTGAACCTAAAAATCCGAAGTAAAACTACGAATCTACTAGTGCAGTATTCCAGCATAATCACTGCTTAATCTCTAATCTAAAGTTAACCTAAGAAAGGTCTAGTATTTTCTAAATGTCCCTAAGTAACTATTTCAAAGTGAGAATATTTTCACAGTGATTTAAATTATGTAAAACATGTTGGAATTGAATAACTTAAAATGTTTTAAAATATATTTGCATGTTATATATGTCTATTGGTTATTTGTCGGTCAACTTTATACTGAGCGTGTATTGCTTTAACTTCACACATGTACTAGCAAAGGAAACAATTGCTTAGGAGGGCAAACAGAGATGTGGAGGTCGTGCCAAGTCAAGAATCTTTTTTAAATTGTTTAAAATTTAATAATGAATAAATCCTTGAATTTACTTTACGTTGGTTTGGGTTTGAATCCTAAGTTGTACTTTCCTTCACAACGTTCTTACTTTACATTTTTTAAAAATTCCAAATAATCATTGAACTCTTTAATTATTAAAATGAGATTTAATACTAGTTAATTTATTTTTGTTATGTAAACCTAGTTTTCTAGTGCTCCAGTCTGGATGACTTAGGTCACCTGGGGTGGGGTGTTACATCCTCAACATAGGCCACATCTCTTGACCATTAATAGGAGATATTGTCTATCCATATCCCAGCTCATACGCCTCTCTCTTTTAAACCAATGGACATATTTTTCTCGTCTTTCCCCATTGTAACTTATAGCTATAACTACGAGCCTACAAGGAACTCCAACTACTTTTCATAAATAACAAGAACATGAATGGTTTTCTAAGTCAAGAACAAACCTTTGTGGTCTAATGGTATGTGTGACTTCCAATTTTCAACCCCTCCTTACGTTGGAATCCCATTGGTAGAGTTCTCAATTTCCTTTATCAACCTTGCTCAAAACTTTGGTCCAAGAGCTTAAGCCACAAAAGCATATCACCTCTAATGCGTACAAACGAACTTTGAATGGTGTTCTAGAAAAAATATTATGCTAGTAATTGTTCTCTAGAATATTTCTTAAAATATAAAATATTTGGAGTAAAGAATTAAAAGAACAAAACAGTTTGGTCTCTTAATTTTTGAGAAGAGGGTCGCAAATCTCTAACAATAAACCACGAAGAATGATCTCCAATTTATAGAGAGTATAATCCCCATCCCAATTCAATTCGAAATATGTCTTTTAAAGTTAAGGAAAGAAATCAAATTTCATTTCTACTTCAATGCACATTTTCGGCCCTACTACCATTGGTAGCTTCCAATTTATTTTTCCAACTTTAATTATCATATAATTAACACAATATATACACACACACACACATATGTTTATACACAATCGTCGAAATATATAAAAAAATGTATGTGTGTGAGTGTATAGCACACATATATATCCATAAATATTTAAATTAAAATGATATTTGACAAACTTAATTATCATATAATTAAAATGTCCAAATATATATATTTTATAAATATTGTGTCATACGATATATATATATATATATATATATATATATATATATATATATATATAATATACATACGTACATACATACATACATACATACATACATACATACACACACACACACACACAATCGTCAAAATATATATAAAAATGTATGTGTGTGTGTATAGAACACATATATATTGTTACAATTCTCGTACGGATTACAACGGACAGGAAGATGAACGATCCCGAAAATAAAATAAAAAAAATAAAATTCTGAATTTATAATTTATTCAGAATATTACAAAATAAACAAAGTTGAAAATAAATTCATATATCTTCAAACAACCTTGTTGTACAAGGACATTAAGCACTAGACAGCGAAGACATTAAACACTGGACAACGAGGACATTAAGCATTAGGACAGAATGCAGCGAGGTCTTTATGAACTAATCCTGCAAACAAAACACCATGGAAGGACAGCGGAGTCGCCGGAGTTGTCCTTAATGTAGTAGTGCCCGCCTACCGTATCGAAAAAACGTGGGCACTCTCCTCCTAAGATAAAACCGCTATCGTGTATGGAGATTGTACAGACCAACCACACACCAACGAACAAGAACAACGTAGGAACGTTGGCGACCAAAAAACTTTGAAGGGGATTGCCGGAAAGTTCGCCGGAAAATCAAGAGCTCTCTCTCAATATTAAAACAAGAATGTTTTCCCTTTTCTTTTTCCTTCTTTCTCACGTGAGGCACCCAAGAAAAATGGAGAGCCCTTTCTTTGTTTTTATAACTAAGGAGTTTAAAAAGTGTAACTCCTACACCATTAACCCTTAGTATTAACCATGACATTTGTGGCACACTAATGGCGTGTTAATGGTGATTAATTAGTCATTAACACGTCCGTTACGCTACGCTCCGTTTAAAATTTGTTTCGAATGATTGGAGATTAATGGCCAGTTAACTTCGTAAAAATGGACTAATTTTAAACAATACGTAAAATTAATAATAGAAGATTGGTTCAGTAAAATTGCAAAAAAAAATTGCAATCCTTACCATATTTTTATATTAACGGGTTAACTCTGAGAATCAATTTCTCATTCACCCTTTACCATTTTTGGCGTATAAATTATCAAAACATTTATCTCATTTAAGAGAACACACGTCCATTAATTAACGGTTAAACCCGTTAATGGACCTATGGACAAATATACCCAAGTTGGTCCATTTAATGCCTATTAAAAATGCCAAAAATTCCAACATATATACATAAATATTTTAAATAAAATGATATTTGACAAACTTAATTATCATAAAATTAAAATGTCCAAATATATATATAGTTTATAAATATTGTGTCATACGAAATATATAAATATTTATTAAATAATTTACATTACTCCATAACAATAATCTATACCACCAAATGTCCTATGTGTGTGACCCACTTCTAGGTTACCCATAACTTTGGCCATAGTATTAAAATACTACAAGTAACAAACGGTATCTAGCAATACATTGTCACCCCCAAGTTATAGATATGAAGCTCTTAGAACAATTCCTTCAATGACACATTACATTTAATAACTCTTATCCCTTTATCACTAATATCTTGATTTAACACAAGGTATGAGATGTGTCACCTTGCTAAAGTTAAATCAAAGGTTTACTGGTTATCTTGATTGGCTTGTGGGATTCAGTTAACATTAATATTATGTATATATCAATTTATCTGGGTATGACCATACACTTCCCAAGTCACATCAATTAGTGGGCACAAAGATATTATACTTCCATAAAGGAAGGGATAAATTCTATGTATATCATTCACATTCTTGCTTAAGTTCTACCAAATGCCCAAGACATAATTATACGTCCACTAATATTTCAAATGACATTAATTATATCCCAAAACATGTAGCTATACTCACCAAGAATCGTAATGACTTCAAGTCCAAGGATAGTTACATAAATGGTCGTATGAAAATACTATTAACACATTTCAAGGTATACCTAATATATTTGCCTACGTATAGATTCAGATAACACCTTATCTATACCCTATATTTCCCCCCTTTGTTTGGCTAGTTTTTCCCCCTTTTCCTCAGGACGTATTACCCAACATGGAAAGCTCACGGCCTTACGCCTACAATCAAAGTATAACTTGACCTGCTTCTTGTAGTTTTCTACCTGGATTCTAGCTTCATCTCTCTTTTCCTCCAAGAAGTTCAACTCTATAGATTGGTTTGCTTCATTAGACTGAGGGTCATACTGTTGTTCCCTCCAAGTCAGGAGCACTATTTTTTTCGGTGCCTTGGCCTCAAACCAATATGCCCGTCCAAATGGTGTATCACTTGCAGCCCTCCTTGGAGTTGTCCTGTACGCCCATTGGATTCTGGGTAATTCATCTACCCTGTTACTCCCTTCGGTCGACAACTTCTTTTTAATCCAGTCTTGTTCTATTCGCATTCTCAACGTGGCCGTTGGCCTGCGGGTACGCTATGGAAGCTTTACTATGGCGAATCCCCAAGGTCTTTAGAAAATGAGCAAACTTAGCCCCCTCAAACTGAGTTCCATTGTCTGTGATTATTTTCTCCGGGACCCCGAACCTACATAAGATATTGGTTCAAATAAATTTGATCATCTGTTCCTCTGCTATTCCCGA